TATTTGAAGTATCTGTTATAAATAAGGTGTTGAATGAATTTGTAGTTGGTATAGATAGTAGAGTATGTATTGATTGAGGTTGAGGTCTTGTACTACAGTATGGTATCCAAATATTGGTATTTAGTTGCTTGTTAAGATGTAGAAGAAATTGTATAGTAATTGAAGTAGCTGTTTGGTCTGATTTAGTAAGTTCGCATATTGTTTATATAGGTTTTATCACAAAATCCTAAAAGACAAATTCCTGAAAGGACCTAATACCGACAAAGTTAGCCGGCATTACTGGTCAATTTAGTCTGTATTATGTTCTTTCGGGAAAATGGTTTTCGGGATTTTGTAGTAGAACCCCCTAATATACAACTTATTACAATCTATTTTAACTCCTAGTAAACTTCAAGTTTACTAACTATAGTTAAACAATTATATACCAAAATTATCAATCTTGACAGCCTTCAAATACACTATCTCTTTGATAAACATTCTAGTTTTTCTACACCTTCCAGCCTCATCCTACTTGAAATTATACGTACAAAATCCCGAAAACCATTTTCCCGAAAGAACATAATACAGACTAAATTGACCAACATTATAACTAATGCCGGTTAACTTTGTCGGTATTAGGTCCTTTCAGTAATCTGTCTTTCGGGATTTTGTGGTAAAACCAACTTTTAGGCAGCGTAACGGTTATGATTATAACAAAATTTAAACAATGGACAAGGATCCGATTTAGCAAGGATCAAAGTCTCAGGTTCAATAGAAATTTAAGTACATAAGGGTCAAAAGACAAGCTAGAGAACGCTTGTTTTTATCGTAAGAACGATGCCTTTATTGAGAAAAAAATGGATCACTTATATACTTTCTATTACATTATGTTGCATATAAGACTTTTAAGTCTTATAACACTTTTAATCATTAAAGCCTTAAAATACTTTAAAGACCTTTAATACTTATAAGGCCTAAACGTACTATAAGACTTTTAAGACGTTTAAGATTTAAGATTTTACCCATTTTAGTTGAAGATCGACGCCACCCAAAAATAGATTCTGCGGAGTAGTCGACGTAGAGCATAAAATTTTTTAACTAACTTTGTTATAAACATGTTCAAGAAAGGATTTATGATAAAATAACTGAAAAAAGTAAAGCAATTTTGTCTAGAAATCTAAAAACATTCAACTCATTCTTTACTATCAAAATATATATAAAAAGTGATAAATAATCCGATTCATTATTCTGATCACTATCCTGATCATTAATTTCAAAAAAATTTTCAATAATTAATTTTTATATGATACTACGTATAGGTTTGATTTACATAGTTGACAGCACACCCCAATGTAACATGCTGCCTACCCTTTATCTTTTTGTTACAATGAATGCGAAAACATAAATATATTAAAATATGGAAAAACCTATAACGCATATATATTCCGTATAACAATATTATTGAGCTTTCTTTGCTATTATTGTTTGCGTTATCAAAACAAAAGACATCATAATAAGGGGACGTCCATAATTTACGTTAAACCAGCATTGTTATAGGGATCTTAAAGATAATACAAAAATAGTACTACATGGAATTATCTTAAAGGTCTCTATTTTTATACAATACTGTACTGGTTTCACGTAAATTATGGATGTCCCTAAAGCTAGGAACTAAGCATGTACATATGTACGTCTGTACATTGCATTGAAATCGTTAACAATCATATTTGATTAGAGTAACTTTTTTTTTCTTTTTTTGCTATTGGATAATATTAGTTAAAAATAAAATAAACATTTTTAAATGATTCTTTCTGTTATTGTGAAACAAAAACCAAATTTCATAAATTATTGTTTACATGTGATACGTAGGTGATTATTACCTGGTATCGTTCTGAATTTACTTATATGCTATTTTATTTTATATATACCCATTTATTTTTCTTCATGACTCATTTGGATCTTTTTTTGTTCCAACCTTTTAATCAAGAAAAATGTTTTCCCAGAAAATTTGGTCGCTGGTTTTTAATTTGATTTGTTCGCTCCTTTTATTACTTCCGAACGAATCTCTATCTTCACCACTTTCTTCGAGTGAACCTTCTCTCCATTCTACTTCTTTAAATAAAAGATACAATGAAAAAATTTATAATATTAAAATTACCAAAGAATCTTTTGCTCCTGATGGTTTTGAACGTGAGATGTATCTTATAAATGGTCAGTTTCCTGGTCCTACCATTGAATGCAATAAAGATGACGTTTTAGTTATCAATGTTGAAAATTGTTTAAATGAGGATACTACAATTCATTGTCATGGAATATTCCAACGCGGAACTCCTTGGTATGATGGGAATCCTGGGGAAACTCAATGCGGTATTCCACCAAATGAAACATTCACTCATAAGTTTAATGTTAATCAAAGCGGAACGTATTGGTAGTAAGTAATCATTTTCCTAAATAGTCATGTGATCTGCAAAATGTATGCACGTGATTATGAACAATAATTTTTTTGAAAAAATAGTCATTCTCATTCAAGAACTCAATATATTGAAGGAATAGTTGGTCCTTTGATAGTTCATGACCCACAAGATCCTTATATTGATGAATATGATGAAGAAATTATAATTTTATTACAAGACTGGTACCATACTGATTCCAAAACTTTATTGGCTACTTTCTTGTCTCCTGAGAGTCAAGGAGTTGAACCAGTTCCTGATAATGGTTTGATTAACGGAAAGAACTCTTTTAATTGTTCGGCAGCACCAAAAGATAGCGTTTGTAAAGATGCCCCATTGGCAGGATTCAATTTTGTTCAAGGAAAGAAATATAGACTTAGAATTATTAATACCAGGTAAACTCTTTTTTTTTTTTTTTTTCTTTCACCATAATTTATTTTATTTATTTGTTTATATATTTGCCAATAGTACGTTTTCGGCTTTCATTTTCTCCATCGATGAACATTCTTTGGATGTAATTGAAGTTGAAGGGATGATAACCAAGCGTCATACAGTCCATCGCCTCCCTATTAACGTTGCTCAGCGTTATTCGGTCATTGTAGAAGCTAATCAGCCTAAAGCAAAATATTGGATGCGCGGAGAAATGGAAACCACTTGTTTCGCTCAACAAAATCCTAATCTCAATTCTCTAGTAAAAGCCGTTGTTTCATATGCCGGATGTGATGATAAAGATCCATCATCAAAGGCTTGGAGTGATAGTGTTAAAGATTGTGTAGATTTGGATGCTTCAGATCTAAAACCTTACAAAACGCAAAACGTTCCTGATGTTGATCATAAAATAAAAATAACGATTAGTTTCCAAAATGATGAAAATAATATCACCTTGGGATATATAAATAATTCAACTTATAAGATCGATGTAAAATATCCTACACTTAACAAAGTTTTCGATGGTGTGACGACATATGCTACCGATCAAAATGCTTTCGTAATTGAAAAATGTGAAATTATAGATTTGATTTTGAACAGTACGAATAATTTACTTTTATCAATTATTAAAATGATTTATTTTATCATTAGTCAAATTATAAAGTATATCTTTTTATTTTAATTAATTAGACACAGACAACGGTGAACATCCATTCCATTTGGTATGTATTTTTTAGTAATTAATAATCGTCGCAGATTAAAATTAAATTAGGTTAAAATCAAATTAGGGGTTTCTATTAACCCCCTAAAACACACATATACTCTTTTATAATAAAAAATACCCCAAACCCTAACCATAACCCTAAAAAAATGCAAAAAAAAGCACACTAAAAAAACTAAATTTTCGGTGGCTTGTCTATTTTACGGTATACCCTAATTTCATTTTAACCACCATTATGCATGGAATTCTCTCATCTACAACTTTAATAAAAATTAGAAAAGAGGTTTACTTATTATAAATTGATTCATTCTTTGAACGCCAGATTCCAAAAAAGGCAAAAAATAATAGTATATTTAGCCACAGTTTACTACGTATGCCTTTTCACTGGATTAAAAATCATGTGAAGTGAATTTGTATATTTTATATTTTTATGATATCTTAAAATTTTAGACTTTAGGCTAGGGCAGAGTCTAAATTAAAGTTAGAGTTAAGAATTTATTTTTTTTTTTTTGAGTGCTGAACTTTTTTAACTTACTTAAACACTAATTCTTAAAAAAAAAAAAAAGCCAAATTTTTGCTTTAAAGATTGATTTCGAATACAAAACGAGTTGAATATTTAAAAAAACTTTTGTTTAACTGGTTCTGGATTTACTTTATAATGAACTTAAAAAAAAAATTTCGGTATCAATTTAAAAAATATTATTATGTTACTGTATATATGGATTGGCAAAACTTTAAAGTGAAATAACAAAAAATTAAGATTCAGCATGTCCGAAGGTTGTTATAAAGCACCTTGTTTACTGTCGAGCAAATGTACAAATTCAATTGCTAAGACTTTATCAGAGCTGTCAAAATATATAACAAATTAAAGTTTGCCAAGACTGTAAATATATATATATAAACTACGTTTGCAGACTGCTCAAACCTGTCAAACTATATAAGGAATATAAGGAAATTAAGTTTGCCAAGGAATGTAAAAAAAATATATATACAGTATATATATATATAAACTACGTTTGCCAAGACAGTAAAAAACGCAAATGCATTGCCAAGATCGTAAAAACCGAATTTTTGGTTTTGTGCACGCTAAATATTTTGATCATCTTTAAATCCTGTAATTTTGCATTTAAATTTGTATTTAAACCTTTATTATTAAAGAACAATCATACTTAAAATTCTATTAGTACTTAATTATATTTAAGTATAAAGTATTAAATATTCAAATTTGCTACAAAAAAAAGAAAGGATGATTGAAAATAAATTCTAATTTAAAGCATTAGCACCAAAAATTCCAAATGAGTCTGTTGATTATTTCAAGTATTTCTTTAGAAACATAGTTTAAAAAAAAAAATCGTCAACTTCTAAATTTTGTTCCAGTCTCTCTTTAAAAATTCTGTATATTTTTAAACACCGAATGATATTTAATACACTTTACATTTAGAACACAATGCTTTCCAATCGTCAGGTGCTTTTAACTCTTTAATTTTGTTCGGTTGCGTGACGAATTGTGCAAGTAATCCCGATTGTACATGCCACTATAATTAATATATATATGTTAGAGTCAAAGAAAGATAATAATAAAAGTTTGAAGAGATCATGATGATATTTACCTCAATATGGCAATGGAATCCCCATACACCAGGATTATCTGATACAAATCGGAGAACGGTCCATCTAATAATAAAATAAATTATTATAAAGTTTAATTTTATCAATCCAACTCAAAAAAAAAAAAAAAAAGTTAACGCACCCGCTAGCAGGGATAGTTGTAGTATCACGTTGTATCGGGTCTACAGTATTTAACTTATCGTAATCTGGTGTAGTGTCATTTCCACCTTGCCCAAGTATCCAGAACACATGACCGTGCTAATATTAATTTCAGAAATTAGCGTTAGGAAAAATTAGTTACTATTATTAAATATATATTAATGATTGTGACGGATTAAAATGAAATTAGATTAAAATGAAATTAGGGTATACTGTAAAATAGACAAGCCACTGAAAATTACGTTTTTTGGGGTAATTTTTTTTGCATTTTTTTTTAGGGTTAGGGTTAGGGTTTAGGTATTTTTTTTATAAAAGAGTATATGTGGGTTTTAGGGGGTTAAATAGAAATCCCTAATTTCATTTTAATCTAATTTAATTTTAATCTGCGACAATTATTAATTACTAAAAAATACATACCAAATGGAACGGATGTTCACCATTGTCTGTGTCTAATTAATTAAAATAAAAAGATATACTTTATAATTTGACTAATGATAAAATAAATCATTTTAAGAATTGATAAAAGTAAATTATTCGTACTGTTCAAAATCAAATCTATAACTTCACATTTTTCAATTACGAAAGCATTTTGATCGGTAGCATATGTCGTCACACCATCGAAAACTTTGTTAAGTGTAGGATATTTTACATCGATCTTATAAGTTGAATTATTTATATATCCCAAGGTGATATTATTTTCATCATTTTGGAAACTAATCGTTATTTTTATTTTATGATCAACATCAGGAACGTTTTGCGTTTTGTAAGGTTTTAGATCTGAAGCATCCAAATCTACACAATCTTTAACACTATCACTCCAAGCCTTTGATGATGGATCTTTATCATCACATCCGGCATATGAAACAACGGCTTTTACTAGAGAATTGAGATTAGGATTTTGTTGAGCGAAACAAGTGGTTTCCATTTCTGCGCGCATCCAATATTTTGCTTTGGGTTGACTAGCTTCTACAATGACCGAATAACGCTGAGCAATGTTAATAGGGAGGCGATGGACTGTATGACGCTTGGTTATCATCCCTTCAACTTCAATTACATCCAAAGGATGATCATCGATGGAGAAAATGAAAGCCGAAAACGCACTATTGGCAAATATATATATATATAAATAGATGAAATAAATTATGGTGATAGAAAAAAAAAAAAAAAGTTTACCTGGTATTAATAATTCTAAGTCTGTATTTCTTTCCTTGAACAAATTTGAACCCTGCCAATGGAGCATCTTTACAAACGCTACCTTTTGGTGCCGCCGAACAATTAAAGGAGTTCTTTCCGTTAATCAAACCATTATCAGGAGCTGGTTCAGCTCCTTGACTCTCAGGAGACAAGAAAGTAGCCAATAAAGTTTTGGAGTCATTATGGTACCAGTCTTGTAATAAAATTATAATTTCTTCATCATATTCATTAATATAAGGATCTTGTGGGTCATGAACTATCAAAGGACCAACCATTCCTTCAATATATTGAGCTCTTGAATGAGAATGACTATTTTTTCAAAAAAAAATTATTGTTCAAAAATCACGTGCATACATTTTGCAGATCACATGGCTATTTAAAAAAATGATTACTTACTACCAATACGTTCCGCTTTGATTAACATTAAACTTATAAGTGAATGTTTCATTTGGCGGAATGCCACATTGAGTTTGCCCAGGAACCCCATCATACCAAGGAGTTCCGCGTTGGAACATACCATGAGAATGAATTGTAGTATCCTCATTTAAACAATTTTCAACATTGATAACTAAAACGTCATCTTTATTGCATTCAATGGTAGGACCAGGAAACTGACCATTTATAAGATACATCTCACGTTCAAAACCATCAGGAGCAAAAGATTCTTTGGTAATTTTAATATTATAAATTTTTTCATTGTATCTTTTATTTAAAGAAGTAGAATGGAGAGAAAGATCACTCGAAGAAAGTGGTGAAGATAGAGATTCGTTCGGAAGTAATAAAAGGAACGAACAAATCAAAATAAAAACCAGCGACCAATTTTTCTGAGAAAACATTTTTTTGATCAAAAAAGGTTGGAACAAAAAAAAATCCAAATGAGTCATGAGGAAAAATAAATGAATATATATAAAAATAAACTAGCATATAATGTAACTTCAGAACGATACCAGGTAATAATACCTACGTGTCACATGTAAACAATAATTTATGAAATTTTGTTTTTGTTTTACAATAACAGAAAGAATAATTTAAAATATTTATTTTATTTTTAACTAATATTACCCAATAGCAAAAAAAGAAAAAAAAAAGTTAATCTGATCAAATATGACTGTTAATGGATTGCAATAACTCAATGCAACGTACAGATGTATACGTACATACTTAGCTCCTAGCTTTATTATGATGTCTTTTATTTTGATAACACCAATAATAATAACAAAGATAGCTCAATAATATTGTTATACGGAATATATATGCCGTTATAGGGTTTTTATTTTAATGTTTTCGCTTACATTGTAACAAAAAGATAAAGGGTCAGCAGTAGTGCTCCTAAAGAGTCATTCGGGTCGGGTTTGGGGTTGAGCCCGTATTTGTTCGAACAAACTCGGGTTTTTAAAT